GCCTCTAAGCATGCCAGACCCTGGACACTTGTAGAAAGTGCTCCCATGTCTTCTCTGATAACCTGTGTTTCTCAAACCCACATTGTCTGTTTTCAGAACTTTCAGATTACAGTGGTTAGAGTGCTGGTCTACATCTGGGAGACTCAGGTTCATATCCCTGGTCTGCTATGAAGACTGCTGGAAGCCCTTGGGCCATTCATTCTCTCTCTCTCTCAGCCTAACATACCTCACAGAGTTGTTGTAAGCATAAAACAGAGGAAGGGGGAAATGATGTATAATGCCCTCATAGCTCCTTGGAGGATTCAGATGGGGGTGGGGGTTTCCCCTGATTTTGGGGCCCCCAATTTGCTGCCAGCCATCTGGCCAGTGGGGGGAGCCCCACCCCCAAAGAGCCCTGTCCTGCCTGATGTGCCCAGCATGATGTTGTCACCCGGAGATGACATCCTCACACTGGGCACATCATGCAGGGGGGTTCTAGTATTTGGGCAAAAACTCTATGGTGACCATGGAGTTTTTTGCCCAGATGCTAGAGTGCCCCACCAAATGTGCCCAGAGCAATGATGTCACCTCTAGGTGACATCATCATGGCATGCATGTGCCAGAAGACTCCCGGAGCGAGGGTGGACCATCTCTGCCAGCACCAGGTAAGACCTGGCAACCCTATGGAGGAAGGACAGGATTTTAAAAATGTAATAAATAAATAAAAGCTCTTTGTAGTTCATACACAGATATGGTGCTTTTTTTAAACTCTTGAATGTCTTATTCAATTTTGCACCCTACACTACATATCAAGAGTACCTATGTGCAAGCAGCAAAAAGTGTGTAGTACTAGGTGAATGCAAATGGGGGATCTACAAGGATTTTCAGGGGGGGGAAATCTCATTTTCCCCTTCCCCACTATTTCCTGTGTCCCTTTCTGAAAGCCCTCATAGCCCCAGCCATTTTTCTGCTTCCTTCTCTCCTTCCCACTCACCAGGCAACCTACCTATTAGGGTTGCCAGGTCCTTACCTTCTGCTGGTGGGGGGCTCCAACCTGCTCTCCTGGGTCTTCTGTCTTTGTGTGCACACTGTGATGACATCATCCAGAAGTGACATCATCGCACTGGGCATGTTGTGAAAGGGATGCTGTAGCATTTGGCTAAAAGCTCTATGGTGACCATAAAGCTTTTAGCCAAATGCTAGAGAATCCCCCATGCGACATGCCTGCCGGGATTATGTCACCTTCAGGTGATGTCATCATGCCAGGCATATCAGGTGTGGGGGGGCTCTTTGGGGGTGGGTCTCCCCTTGCCGGTCAGCTGGCCAGTGGCAGATTGAGGCCCCTGAACTCGAGGGAAAACCTACCCCCATTCAGGGGATGGCAACCCTACTACCTATAGCCAATCAACCCTGTCTTCAGCTTCCCCTCCTTCCCTCCTCCTTACAACCATTCCCCAGGAAAACTCTGGCTCAGTTGTACAGTGCCAGTCATTGGGCTGGGCCCAGCTGCACAGTGCTGGCTGACCTGGCCCTAGGTGTGTGGTGCTGACCTGGCCAAGCTCAGTTGCACAGCGGAGAACCTTCAAGAGCTTGAGGAGAGCATCTCTCTTTCCTCTGTACCCACTCCCCACACTATTTCCTCTTTCCCTCTTCCTGGCAGCTCCTATATCCTTATCCTTCCCATCTCTACTTCTCATCCACCAACCTCTTTTTTATCTGCCCCCCATCTTCAGCTATATTTACTATTTTTTTACTTGATTTATGCCCTTATTTCTCCACAATAGGGACCCAAAGAAGCTTACATCATTCCCCTCTCTTCCATTTTATCTTCACAAAACCCTTTGATATGAGTTAGGCTGAGAATATATGACTGTCCAGTCACCCAGAAAGCTTCCAAAGCAGGTGGCTATTGCAAGGTGGCTACTGTTGAACAGTAGCAATGACAGGTTAGAGACTTCCGGTTTTTGGTGACTCGCAAGTGGGCGTGCTCCATCGCAGCTCTAATGTGAGTGCCCCGCAAATGTGCCGATGGGGGGGCTGAGTTGATCTTGGACCCCCCGGCCCCCTGGAGGGGGGACGCAGCCTGGGGCGCGAGAGGTGCTTCTCCCAAGGCATAGGCCAAAGGATTGAGGCACCTTTTTGCCCCTAAAGGCCCCTGCGGCACGGAGCCAGCATGGCACTAAGAGGCGCACACCAGACAGAGCGCGCAAGGATCCTAAGGAATGATCTTCTCTACATACGTAATGAACGCAAGTACAAACGTGAGTGAAGCTATGACCCAGCAAACAATCGATAAAACGCTAGCAGCAAAGCCGTCCCAAAGCCCCAAACAAGCAGAAGAGGGAGGGGAATGCCTGATCCCAAAAAGACTGAATTTAAAGCGGGAGGCGGAAAGGGCGGCTTGAAGGAAGCGGCGGATCAGCAAGAAAGCGATAAATCACTAGACTTATGGAGAACTTTTAAATTTTCCTCTTGTGTAAACAATGACGCAGCGAGCAGAATAAATGGCACCGAAAACGAAACTTATAACAGGAACAGCCAACACATCATTGCCGGCTACCAGACTGGAAGCAACCACAGACTTTCCCAAAACGACTGCTGCAGCTTTATGCCCTCTATTGGACCAGATGACCACCTTAGCGACAAGCAGTATATGTTGCAAAAGGAACTCAAAATTTCAGCGAGAAATAAATAAAGTGAATGTTCCTGAAGCAACAATAGAAAGTGGAAGAGGCACCTGAGAAAGTGGAGGAGAATAAAGACGCAGAAGAAGATGGAGAAGGATGGGAAAGACTCTGATATCAATTTAATTAGTCTGGCAAAACTCTTTGATTTTAAAGCAGAACTAGAGGTTGCTACCCCCAAAGCGTTTAAAAACTAATTTGGACTTTGACAGGAGGAGAGGAAAATGCAAAACAGCTTAATTTCGATAGCCTGATGTTTATTCTTAATGCATAACTCCAAACTAATGATACTTACACTATAGCGTTTATTGTCAACGTATAACTTTAAAACTAAGATGCACAACTACAGCCAAATATGTTTGTGGTTGTTTGCCTTTTAACTTGATATTTTTATAGTATTATCGCTCACGCTTTACTATTCTGACAAAAAAGATGTATCAACAACTTCAAAGTTTTGTAATAATGATCCTTGTTACTCTAGTTTTAGGCTGTTTCCATCCCCCGACCCTGTGGTATTGTAGTTTTAGAAAAGCAATTAATTTTTTTTTTAAAGTAGCAATGCCAGGTTGGGGTGAGTCATGCAAGCTGTGGGGTAGCAATTGGTAGCTGCTGCCAGGCCTGGCCCCTAGGAGTCTTGCCTTAAAGGCCAAAACAACTTTGGAAAGGGCCCTGCCTCCTCTCCCTGCCTTTTACTGTGAGAAACCAAGGCATGAAGGCTGACAACACTATTATGGTTGCCTAGCATTGGCCACTGACGGCATTTGTTTCTTAAAGCTACAAGTGTCGTTTCTACCATTTTCAAGAGTTTTAAGCCCTCAATAGTGTGGGTGGTTTTTAAAAAAAATTTCAGATTTTTGTGCAAAACTGGTGCTTTTCTCAGGCTTGTAAAAAGAACTGACTAATCTACCCATGGCCCCAGATTTAAGTATCCATAAATGGGACCATGTTGAAAATTAGACACATTGATTACACACACACACACACAGAGAGAGAGAGAGAGAGAGAGAGAGAGAGAGAGAGCGTTCTAGCTATTTAGATCTATAGATTCCTAATGCAGAAATGCATATTAGAAAGCTGTGAATGGGTAGGAAAGGCTTCCTCAGTGATAGCAAGTGGTCTCTCTCCTTGACAGTTAGACTACATTTTTTTTTAATGAAGACATGTTTTACAGGCTTAGAAGCATTCTCAGTTTAGAACAGATGAGTGCTACAGCTGATGGTAAACACAGCTCTCAAATCAAAGTAAAGGAAAACTCACTAACGTGGCTGCTACTGTGCACACAGAGTTATATGAGAGCCCAGGGAATAATGCATATTTCCCAGTGCAAGCCAGTTGGTTGCAACTTAAATGCCAGATGCCCCCATCATCTTTCAGGAATGATTCAGAACACAGGTTAAGTGTGAATGGTGTTCCTATCACCAAACCTCTTTGCTGAACTATACCCAACTGTGCAATGTCAGAGGAAAATAAAGCCATTATAATGGCAGAAAATAAACCACCGCCTCCATAAATAAAACCAACTTAACAGGTCCAGTCATATATACGCTGAAACAGGAGTAAGCCTTTTAAAAACAGTGTTAGTGTCACAAGAGAGTCCTTAGAGAGCCACTCCCAGAACGTTCTCAAAAGCTTCACGGATTTTGCGCTAAACCGCCCCTGATGACACCTATGCAGAGGCAACTGTTGAACAGTTCACTGAACAGCTCAAGCAAATCTAACAGCACCAATCCTATCTGAATTTGCAGAAGCAGGCTCTCATGCATGGCACTTTCGATTCTAATCTTAGAAGCTTCTACATTGCAAGGAAATGTCAGACTAATATAAATTCTTCCTTGAAGAAACAAAAAGATGGCCACTTGAAAATCCAGCCTATGATGTAGTAAAGGCCATTAGGATAGATTAATCTGAATAGGGATTAGACAGATATGTGAATAACAGGTTCATCAGTAGCTTCTAGAATCTACACATCCAGAGGCAGTAAACCTCTGAATGCCAGTCCTAGAAGACAACATTGGGGAGGGCGGGGAAGGCCTTGGCTTCTTTGCCCAGGTTGTTGGCCATCAGGGTAACTGATCTGGCTGCTGCATGAAACAGGATGCTGGACCACATGGACTACTGTTAGGATCCAGCAGGGCTCTTCCTATGTTCTTATGAAAAGAAATGGATTTCCCATACCCCTGAAACTTACAAATAATGCAAATGGAAATTTCAACTTGGCAAAAAAAAAAAACAGATTTAGGGAAGAAGGAAATGAAAATATACGGTAGGAAACCAAAGTTAAAAGAGAGACCATTCTTAGAAGGAAAGAATTTAGGAATATATCAACAATCCCTTTACCTGATGCTGTTACCAGTAGGCTGTCTGAATCACATGGTCTATAGGATGAAGCACTAACAGGGTTTATGGAGGAGCTACAGGCAATGGTGGTGGGAATGACAAAGGAACTTTCTGAACATGCAGGTTGGTTCAGTCCAGGGAATTGGGAAGGCCAGGCACCCACCTGAGACGTGGCCATGGCTGGTATGGCACAGCCTGCAGATGCCACAGATATATCTATGGTTGGTTTGGGTGGCAGCTGAGGAGAGGACTTAGATACAACATCCTCATTTATTACCCTGATTCCTTGAGGTGTACTGGAAGGAGGTGAGACTAGGGTTTTGCTCTCTGTTTTGGCACCTATATTAGGGGATCGACCACTATCCATAATTACTTTAAGCTGTGGGTGTGGTGGTGAAGGAGTTTGTGAAAGGCCTGGCTTTTTAGGAGGAATGGGTGGAGGGTTTCCTCTGTCAATTCTTGACACACTGGGAGTCTTTAACCCCATTCTACCAACTGGGGGAGGGTAAGTTCCAGCATCTATTGAATGGGACATTCCTGGCCGTCCAGTAGCAGTGCCCTGAGGACTTGTAAATCTTGAAAGGACTTGGGTGACAGTATTCCGAGCTAGCTGCTTGGCAACAAGGTTGTCTCGATTTGTGGGTGATACATCTCTTGATGGAGGGTTTTGGGCAGTGTTTCCATTTTGGTCTGGGTCATTAGTGCTGGCTTGAAATCTAAACCTCGCTGCCTGGACACGTGGATTCAGACCTTGATGTCCAGTAGTTGCAGCAGATGGAGAATGCAAAGAGTGCATAGAGGAAGCCTGCAAGTAGTTCTGAGGTGCTGGAGAAGATGCAACATTATTTGGAAAGGGGGAAGAAATACTTGTTAAGTCTGGTGATGTACTTGGTCCATTCTCTTCAATTCTGCTTTGACTGGGAGTTGGAACAGGAGTCGAAGGGGACAGAAGCAGGTCACTACAGGAAGAATGCCTGTCCATGACTGGTTTCACAAATCCTGCATTCATCTTGGTGTGGCCAGAGAGTGAAGGCTTTACAGGTACAGTCAAAGGCAACTTCCTAACATTTTCACTACCACCATCTAATAATACTGCATCTGTCTGGCAGGCAAGTGTCCTCAAAGCTGGCCCCTCTGTCCCAACAGAGACAGACGCAGAACCTCTATCTTTACTCCTACGCGGGAGGGAAAGGTGTAGCTTACTATTATTTTCCTTTTTCAACTGCTCAATCATTTTTCTCATTCGTTCCCTCTCTTCTTTGAGATCATTAGTGTGTGCTTCCTCTCGGCTAAGTCTGGCATGTAGTTGCTCCCTTTCCGTGTCAAACTCTGAAAACTGTTTTTCCATCTGGGCTTCCATTTGTGTGCTCCGTTGCTTCTCAGCTGCAAGAGATTCCTCCAGTTCACTGGCTTTCTTTTTTTCCTCCTCAAATTTTGCCATGACATCTTCCAGTTTCTGAGCCTCCTCTACTATCTTGCTGGACAACTGTTTACATTCTTTCACCAGCATCAAGACAACATGTTTATTCTTGCCACGCTCCTCCTCAAGTCGTGCACATAGTTTCTTATGTTCCATTTCAAGCGCCTGCAACTGGGATTTCTCCATTTCCAACTATAAAGAAATGCAGAACAGTACTCATTACCATAGGGGATTTTGTTTCAGTTAAGTGTCATGATACTTTAGGATGCAAAAATAAAGAATACTGAGAGTAGTTTGATTAACAGGACCTCAATGAGACTGGAAAACACAGTTTGCAGATTTGAGCAAAACATGGTTACGCCTCACAGAACATTAAACACAAATTTGGTTTTCCTGAGGAGAAAATATAGAATCATTAAATAGGTGAAATTAAGAGAGATGACAGGGAACATTAAATACTCTCTTAATATTGCTGGGGACAAATATTGTGCTTCAGGAAATGTTATAACAGCATTTTTCAAAGCGATACAATTGTTTTTTACAGCTTCAAATGAACAACTGCCACCTATCAGAAGGCCAGCTCACACATGATAAAGTCTTGGTTGGGGTTTCTGATATGTTCACAGTTACCTCGTACCTCCCCATGGGTGAAGTATCCATGGTCATATCAGTTTTCACAATACCACCAGCAGCACTATTTAAATCTTATCTGGCCACAGTCACACATGCCTTGGCAATATCTGCACTGGATTATTGTAACATGCTTAACATGGAGGGGCTTCTGAAGAACATCAAGAAACTTCAGTTAGTTCAAAATGTCATGTCAAGAGTCCTGGATGCAACCCACCATAGCGATCTCATTACTCAAGTGCTATGTCAGCTGTACTGGTTGCTCAATGTTTCCTACATGGCTTAGGAACATGATACTTGAAGGACCACCTTTCACCATATGAGCCTGCCTGTGAGCTGAGGGTATCACTGGTTGCCTTGCTCTGCCTTCAGTGGTCGTATTTCCCTAACCAATTGATTTAAATTCTGTTGTTGATGGACTGCTGCTTTGACAGTTTTTATTGCCTACTGATTAAGTCACTGGTCTATATTCCCTGCTATCTTTGTTGTTGCTGTTGTTGCTGTTGTTGTTGTTGTTTGGGCATAGCTGCTTCCCCCCAGTTTTTTCCCTAGTACTGTTGTTTCATTACTCTTTTCTTTTTAATCTGTTCTTAACTTGTATTTTGTGTTACCTAAGTAAGAGAAAGTGAGATAGTAATTTCTGAAAATAAATAAATCACAATTCCATGACATGAGACTACCTTACCTATGAGCCTGATTTGTGCACTCCTGAGGTGAACTACATGAGGGCTGTTACATGCGTGAACCTGCCCATTAGTCAATAAGCATTCAGGACTGTAAGCTCTGAAGGACCAGTCACCACAAGATGGGAGCAGATGTTACATACATGCTGATCAAAACAGCCTTCATGTGGCAACTGGTTTCCACAAGACATAAGAGAAGCATTTACTAGTGTAATGGGATGTTTTCTGCCACATCCAATTGGAGAATCTGGACAACAGTTCTAACAGAACTTTGTTTCAAACATTTAACAGAAGGTATCTCTAGGATTTATCTATTAAAGTCTGTCTATCAACCTCTAAATCTGATAATACAAACAAGATAACTGTGAATTCCATTCTTTGAACTAAAACCAGCAAACCAGGCTGAAAACCTTCAGAAGTTTGTCTTCTACGGAAAAAAGAAATAGTTCTCTTTATTAGGCAAGACATTAGAAAATACAAGCATGTGAAAATTAACCCTATAGCTACAGTAAAAACAAGTGCTAAATTTATTGGAGTTCTTAATCATATTATAGTCAGTAATATTTTAAAGCAAACCAGGTTTCAAAGTATTTATTAAAACTGCTTACGGGGATTTTTATACAGGCCCACATCTCTCTTTCTCTGTCTCCCTCTCTCTCTCTCACCTACAGAAATCTCACCTAATCTTCTTCTGAGACCTCCACCCAGAGAAATCTGATTTGCTTATCACACAAATGCATTTTAACAGAAAAATATCAGTCTTATCTTACCCTAATTCTCTTCTATCTTAATCAAGTGATTATTATCTAGACAAATGATTGGTTTTTAACTATGCATGATATAGTCAAAGAGATGCATATGAGATAATCTAAGAATAACCTGATATGTTCTCATTATCTTTTCTAAATCAAGATAAGGGCAAATGTAACTCTTAATTTCTATTAAAAGGTAATAAATCTAATATTTCTGTAGCTGCTTCAAAGATTACAGGAAAATGTTATGAAACCAGAAATCACTGATAGTTGAGCCTTGCATGAGCTCATAGACTTCAGGGAAAATGCATGATCAGCAAGAAAGGTGGTGATATAATCAAAATACTGCTACACTAGGTCCATCAGCAATCACAGTGTAAGTCTCCACACATCTGGTCATCACCAGAAAGAGGAAGAGAGCTATAGAGTTATGGCTGAATTTCACTACAAGAAAGTGAAAATGGTACATGCTGAGCTGCTTTATTCATTCATATGAAGGTTATAGATTCCAGGTGTGGCAACTTCTGAAGACTCAAATGTACATGTCAGAAAGATCACAGAAGTTGTTCTCAGTCATGACATCCTTGGACCCCCACATTCCATTACACTGCTCATACATGCAGACAATGTGGTGTTATCTATGGTTCAATTACACACTTAAACGTAAGCACTTCACCAAGAATGCTGGAGAGAAACCTCCCACACATGCCTCAAAAGTGACAGCTAAATGAAAACTTTGCAGCTTTCTATCAGCAATGCATGCAAGAGTACTCAGAAACCCCTTTAATACTTGTAAGTAGCAAAGTATTTTTAACCCACTTGTGAACAGAAAACATGATTGCATGTACGAGGTCTAAGAAGAGGGCGTTGCAGGAAGCCTTCTTGGATGGCTGGGAATAGGCAATACAAGTAAACTTTCTGGAGTCAGAGGGTCATCAAAGTGGTTATGGGATTTTCCTGACATTTCCCAGCCAGGAAACAGCATCTGGTCAGCATCTAGGACTTCTCAGCAAGTTTGGCCTAATTAGAATGCAAACAGGTGGAAATGGAGGCTACTTCTTTTGATGTCTCCCACAGCCAATACCCTTTACTTCCTGGAAGGAGGGAAGCAGCAGAAACCCTACCAATAACTCTTATCCTGCTGCCAAAGTCACCCCTGCTTCTGCAATGGATCTTATAACTTGCTTTATATTATAAATACTATCTTCATGTTGACATCATGTCAAATGTATCTCCTCCCCTAATAGTTCAATTTTCAAGGTGGTTTTTTATTATTGTTATTTTATTTCATAGTTAGGCAATAAGCTGATAAAAGGAAGAAATAAATAAATAAAAGTGTACCAGTGCAGTCCTTGTGATTACTACAGAGCCATGAGAGGATTTTGCGTTCCACTAGATGCTCAAATCCTACTAATTTCAGAGTTGTAAGAAGATACTGTGTGGTGAATGTATTTTCACATACACTGTAATCTGGGGGACCAGATGGCCCAGGGGATTGGTAACAGGATATGGAGCATTTCATCTCTAGGTCAGTGGTTCAAATTTGGCCTCGGTTGCTAGCGAAAGGAAAGTCATTACAAGCTGGTGCCTCCTGAGTGGTCTGTGGTTCACCAATGGTATTACGTCTCCTCCTTCCAATGCAGAGGAAAGCTGATAGTCAGTTGGACAGCTCCTCTGAAGAATTTTTTTCCTTGTTATTTGTGTACATTCCCCACTCAGCTCCTGCCTACAGTTTCTGCCTTGTGTCATAGAAAAGAGACAGCAAGAAATTAACAGTTGTTTTCATGTCCTCTGGACATCCATCCACTCCCAAATAAAATGTGTCTTTATTATTGGGGCAGAAAATAAAACAGGTATCACTGTGAAGGGGAAGCAGAGAGGAAACGAAGCCGCATGTCAGATACATATTCTATGGGCTGGTGTTTATAGAGGCAGGAGAATAGCTAGGAAGCATTTGGTGACATCCCCAAGAGAGATACTTTCACTCGACAAAAGAAACATTACTGGAATTATGGCTCTGTTATTCGAGCTGCATAAAGATTTTCCTTTTATTTCTCAGTTTGGTTTATGCAGGGTTTTTTGCTGTTTTGCTCAAGGGAAGAGAAATGGAGAAAAAAAGCTTGGAAGGATGGTGTAGGAAAAGAAATATATAGGAAACTGTTCCTCCCTTGCCCCCAAAGTGTGCTTATGGCACCAGGCTTTGTATCTGTTTGAATAAGAGACTGACAATAGCAGATTGTGAAAGGCTGTGGATAAGTGAGTGGGGGTGTGCTGGGTTCAAAAGCTGAATCCTGTGCACCATGATCTGAGGACAAAGAATCGGAATTAACAGTGGTTGAAACTCATTTGGATATTCTGCACTTGTGACTTTGTAAACATTTGTTCATTTCTTATATTATAATCCTGCTTTGGGGCTAATGGTCACCAGAATGGTTTACATAAAACAAATATCAAGAGAAGTACTTTTTAAGAACCTATCAGAAGCATTCTCACCATAAGATGTTTCCCAGAGCCTCAATTAGACCAGATCTTCTTTTAAACATTAACTAAGCACCATATAGTAATGCAGGGAAATGTTCCCCTTTTCCAGGAGGAGGGGAAAAAAATCTAATTTCTGTGTTGCACATGCCAATCTACTGAAATGTAAGAAAACTTCACATTGCTTTTGATAAAAAAATTGGGATTAGGTGGAATAAGAACAGATGATAAAGCACTTAATACTGGGGTGGTTGTGTGTGTGAGTGGGCTTAAAAAAAATTAAGGTCTGAAGAAAAATATTTTCCCCCACCATTTTAAAAAGTCTTTGGCAGTGGATGGGTCAAGTAAATGGTATTACTAATCCTGCCACTGTTTTACTGGAGTTGACCCTTTTACCTAATTTCACTGTATTGGAATTAAGGTGATTTTTACATGGATTAGTTGCATTTCCCCCCATAACTGGGGCTGAATGGAAGGGTATACATTTTAAAGCTCAATAAATAATAAATAATAAATGTGAAACTAGTTTAATAGCCATTCACCAGTGTCTCCCTTCAAGCCACCTGTGTTGTGCCTGAACTGAAGTCAGGTATTGAAAATGGTTGTTGAGATGAACTTCCCAATCAGTCTCTGCTAAAGGGAACAGGAAAGAACTTCTGTGAAGTTGGTAGACAGCTGTTTCCTCAAGCTTTTTCCTGGTATCTGAGTGAACCTCACATTAGCTGCCTTTCCATCTCCTCACCTTGAGGCCATGACTGTTACAGACTGGCTCTCAGTTTGCTTCTGTCTGTCCTGGTCCTAGATTGGTAAATCCATCTTGGATTCTGCTCCTGGTCTTGTTTACCCACCAGGTCATCTTCTGAGTCCTGACCATCCTGATTTGCCTATCCAAGCTTTCTGTCACACTTTATGCTACTCAAACATTATCCTACTTAGCCATATCAAACCCTGGAAATGCTGTTCGGCTAGCTCCTGCAAGATCAAAAGCTGTGTCTCCTAGAACTGCTAACAAAACCAGAGGAAATTATGCATAAGCTCTCTTGCTGATCCAGGGAAACTCATTAGAAGGTTACTCTTTAAAAGCCAAGTGTTCCTAGTAGTACTGTAATACATCTGTCTGCAAGTGCATGAATCACTGTACGAAGCATGCTTGTCTTTAATTACTTGGCAAAATATATGTAAATAAAGTCCAATGAAAGTTTCGTTTCAGGTGTCATCCAACCGATCTAATTACGTTGAGTTGTCAACTGACAGAAGTTATATTGCACACATTGCACTATTGTTAGTTCTTAGCTTGCAATAGAGGTATGCCCTAAGCAGGTTTGGAAAAGTTGCAACTTCAGATTCTATTTACACTCAGATGTTGTTTCTTGTTGAAGGTTTCTGGTCATCAGAACAGCAATACTTTGACATCGGGACTGTATGCAGGGAAAGATCAGGACCACATTTTTGGCTTACACTAGAGAGCCTCAACATGCTGCCCATGGGCATCATGGCACCCACGAATCTGTTTTTGGTGCCATATCTTTCTTCCTCCAAAAAAGAGCCAAACCTGGTTTTGCTCTGCATCCTTGGTGCAGGAGATGCTTCAGAAGAGTCCAGGAGCCATCATCTTTGTGTCTGCAGGGAGCACCCATTCAGAAACATCTACCTCCTTCATAGCAGGATGCTTGGATTAGAACCTCCCAAAATTTATGTGGCTGGCATACTCCTTATAACACCCATTTTGTGGTGGTGCCCACTACTTGTGTTCAAAATTCCAGAAGTGCCCACAGGCTCAACAAGGTGGAGTGAACCACAGGTTGAATGAACCAAGGTTGAGTGAATCACAGTGACCCGAGGCTTATGTACTTCCTTGGCATGTACCCCCACTTTTCCCATACCATGAGGAGATGTGAACACATGATCTGGGATACCCCCATTTATGTGAACTCAGGATCTCCTATGTGGTACCTTCATTTCTCTCCAGCAGTGAGGGTGGAAGGGGAGAAGTTGGAAGACAACGAATGAGCTAAAAACCAGTTCTTGATCTCTCCCTACTCCATAAGAAAACTTCCAAGGCTAGAAAAATCATTTGAACACACCTTGCAATATTTTACTACCCTTCATTTCTATTCTATGACATCTGAACATAGAAACACTAGCACTAGGAGAAAGGATTTCTTAGAGACATCAGCTCTTTAAAAGAGGAATCTGCTTGCCAAAAGCAAAAGTTGGACTATAGATTTTTTTTAAGTAAAACAAATAAAATGGAATTTCATTGGAGTACTGTGACTGTACACTATCAACCAGAAGGAAGATATTAATGATAAAATGAAGTCACTCCTAGAAGGGCAAAATGTAAGGAATAAAAGCAGAAGACAGCAAGTTATTTTAAAGATCCAATAAGTGGCTAGAAGGGGGGGGGCTGTATCAATATAGTACCTTCTTTTGTCTGTTTTCTGCAGCAACCAGCTGAGCGGCCATTCTTTCTTGCATTTTTCTGCAGTGAGCCATAACAGCCTCTAAGACAGACAGTGGGTTGGTACAGATGGACTTCTTGTCTTTCTCACCAGCACCTGCCTCATAGTCTCGCTGTAGAGCCAGAAATGGGTCACTAAGATGAAATCTCCCATACCGTTCCTGGATAAAAACCTCCTTCCTCCGTGCCTAAAGTATTAAACAGACAAATGAACAAAACAAGTAATTAGGGGATAGTAAAGAGGTACATCAACATACAACAGCTTTACACCTAGAGCACTGGGGAAATAAACAGTAACACTTCTGTAGAAAGACAACTAATACATTTCAGTATTTCTAAGATAATATAAGGAACACCATTATTTAATGACACTTCTGAATGAAACCTCTGTTCTTGTAGAACAGAAGTCCCTGATGTGGCACCTGAAGGGCACCATGGCACCTGCCAACACCTTTCCTGGGATTGTCAAGTGTTTTTAGAAAGTGGATGGACCCTAGGGTTGCCAGGCCCCTTGGAGCAGTCAGTGGATGGGGGCCTGCTTAACAGGAGTGGGGAGGAAAGCCGGAAATTAACGCAACTTGTGTACATGAACGCGAAGTGACTTAGGCACATGGGGGGGGGGCAACACTCTGGTTTTGGGGAGAAACTCTATGGTAGAAACCCTATGTCACTTCCAGGTCACATAGGCACGTCACATTAATTTCTGGTATTCCTCCCCTTTGGGGGGTAATTCCCCCCACGAGGTCTGAAAGTGGACCGAGGTGGGGCTTTTGCTTGGCAGGGCTTCTGATTGGCCTCTAGAGATCTGATTTGCTGTGCATTTGTTTTAAAAAGCTGTTTCAGTGGTAGCTGTAGGGTTGCCAGGTCCGATCTTCTCCCTGGCGGGGGGATTAGGGGGCATTCCAGGAGGGGAAGTGGACACCCCCCAGTGTGATGACATCACTCTGCATGACATCATCACATCCCCGCTTTTTTGCTACCATGTGGGGAGGAAGTGAGGGCCAAGCGCTCCTGCCATGCAAGAGGCAAAATCACCTCTTGCAAGGCAGGAGCTGACGGCCCCCACTTGGGAAGAGTGGGCGCCAGGCGCTCCTGCCTTGCAAGAGGTGATCTTGCCTCTTGCAAGGCAGGAGCCAACAGCCCCCGCTTGGGAAGAGAGGGTGTTGCGTGCGGGTGTACGGGGCCCGGTCCCCGCCAGCTGCAAGCATTTAAAGGGATCCCTTTAAGTGCTCACATCTAGTGGGCCCTGCACGTCCACCTCCAAGAGGCAATTGCCACTTGGAATTCAAGTATGATGCGCGCAGCTGCCACTCTCCCTCCCCTCTCTTAAGAGAGAAGGGAGAGGGGTAGCTGCAGCTGTTCAGGTTTTGGGGTGGGGCTTCCTCCCAAAAGTTGGTAAACCCCACCAGGCCGGGGGGTCTGGCAACCCTAGGTAGCTGCCACTACACTGGCGATCTAATTCTGCCTGTCATTCCTTTCTCCCAATGTATTTTTTAAAAAGTCCCCTCTTCTTCCCTGCACTTGGGCTTCCGCTGTGTGTGTATGTGTAGCTCTGCCTTCTGCAGCAGCCATTTTGTGGTTGTGCCTTCTACCCTCTGTCAGAATTCCAAAGGTACTCATGTGCTCAAAAAGGTTGGGGACCTGTGCTCTAGAACATTCCAAACAGCCACCACAAAAATGAATTTCTTAAATGAGGAAGATAAGAATAGATACAAATATTTAAACTTCAGGTTTTTACAGTTTCTTCCCTACCCAGTATTTATGCTGGTTACCAGCTTTTCCCACTATCAGAAAACTAGAAAGAGTATCAGTTGGCAAATTAATGCACACCATCCCAACATTAACAAAATGTGATACTGGGGAATAAAGTTCAAAAATAAAGGACAATGAAACAAGAATGGTGTTAACCATCAACAAAAAATAATTCATAACTGCATTTATTGTGAACCATGTATTTTAATAGCCAAGTCAGCCAAATCTGAGGATACTTAAATCTGGTGATTGAAGTTGTGAACAGGCAAGACAGATGATTTTACAACCTGATAAATGCCCCAGGTTTGCAGGAAAATGTAAAATCTTTTTTTAAAATAGGGGTTTAAAAAGACCCAAAATAATAAATGAAGTGCCTGTCACTTAAAAAAAACACACCACAGGCTCAGATTCCCCCAGTGGCCATTGCTGGGCAACCACAACATTCTAGGTTCATTTCTGTGAGTAAAAGGCGGGGGAGGGGGCAGGGTCTCCAGTAAAAAGGATCAGGTAGTAGGTGATGTGAAAGACCTCTGCATGAAACCCTGGAGAGCCACAGCTAGTCTGAGTAGACAATACTGACCTTGATGGACCAATGGTCTGATTCAGTATAAGGCAGCTTCATGTGTTCATGCTCATGTAGGGTTGCCAGCCTCCAGGTCTGGACAGGGGTTCCCCCGCTTCTGGGGGCTCCAATCTGCCCCCAGTCACCTGGCTAGTGGGGGAAGCCCTGCCCCCCACCCATGGCCATCTCTCCCCTCCTGCAGAAATGTAAAGGGCTTCTGCTGATTGGTGGGCAGCACGTGGCCCTCCAGCTGATCAACGGACCACGTGCTCCCCACCGATCAGCTGAAGCCCTTTAAATCTCTGCAGGAGGAGAGGGAGAGGGGTGGCCACGACTTGGGGGCATTCCCGTCCACCCTGTAATGCCTCCCAAATTCCCCTGCTGGAAGGACAAGGAGACCTGGCAACCTTATGTTCATGTGTCCTTCCAGGGGCTGTTATGGCCTTTGAGGGAGGACTCATCGGGGCCTGGCATGTGCCTGGCAGCAAACACTGGTGGCTTTATACTACTGGACTTGTATGACTCAACTGGGCCTAGCTGCTGGCTACTTTTCAACAGGAGCCTTTCTATGAAACCCAGTATGTTGTAGTGGCTAAAGTTTCAGAGTAGGATCTGGGAGACCCAGGTTTGAATCCCCATCTTGATGTGGAAGCTTACTGGGTGATTTTGGGTCAGTCACATGCTTTCAGCCTAACATACCTCACAAGGTTGCAAAATATTTTGCAACATTCTACAGCTGACTGAACAGGAACACTGAAGCAACTCTCAACAACAAATGAAGGTAAACATAATTTAATGAAGATAAACATAATTTTTAAAATAAGAATTCCCAGCAGATCCCTCAGCTAAATATATCCCATCTACCTCCTTGCTTTGCACCTGAAATCAGAGATACGGCAATAAGCTGAACACTAGTTCAGTCATCAGGCTTGCCCTTTAAAGTTTTCCCATCTTCTATGCTTCTCTATTTACATATCATGAGTACCAGCCAATCAACATGACCATGGCCAGCTTCTACAGCAGACTGCAGAACCTACTTTTTTCTGCCTTAAAGAGGAAAAGAACATTGGATAGAATTTAGTGAGTGTGCCAGTTTGGTGTAGAGGTTAAGTAAAAAAGGTAAAGGTTCCCTTGCTCGAGAGCCAGTCGAGTCCGACTCTAGGGTTGCGGTGCTCATCTCCGTTTCAAAGCCGAAGAGCCAGCGCTGTCCGAAGACGTTTCCGTGGTCATGTGGCCGGCATGACTAAACACCAAGGTGCACGGAACGCTGTTACCTTCCCACCGAAGTGGTACCTATTTATCTACTTGCAATTTCTTGCTTTCGAACTGCTAGGTTGGCAGGAGCTGGAACTAGAGACAGGAGCTCACCCTGTCTTGCGGCACCCGGGTCTTGAACCGCTGAACTACCGACCTTCCACAGCCTGCAGTTCAGCGTCTTAACCACTTGAGCCACCGCAGTACCAGAGGTTAAGTACACAGACTCTAATATGGGAAAACTGGGTTTGATTTTCCACTCCTCCACTTGCAGTTGCTGGATGACGTTGGGCAAGCCATAGTTCTGTCAGAGCTGTTCTTGAAAAACGAGCAGTTTCTGTCAGAGCTCTCTCAGCCCCGCCTACCTCACAGGGTGTCTGTTGTGGGGAGGGAAGGGAAAGGAGTTTGTAAGCCGCTCTGAGACTCCAAGTATAAATCCAATCTGTTCTTCTTTCAAATCACACGCCGCAGCTCTAAATCCCTAACGTCATCCAGAGTTTTGCTACATTTATTCCCCAGTGCATCACTTAAGACGTGGAATTAATTGCTGAGAAATTAGTGTCTAACATGGAAAACCAATCTGCAAGTAGAGGTCATTGTGGGCAAGATGATTTTTTTCTTTTGCTTTATTCAGGCATTCTGCAAATAACAAAAGGGTCAGTTACTGATTTTGAATCATCCTACAATGAAACACAGCTCCGGATATTAGTTTCCCTGTGTAAGCAAAGTACATGTCTCAGAGTTCTTTGGTAATTAAATGCACTAATGTGGTGCTTAGAAGAGTAAGCTGTCCCAACAGATTGTATACCTGTTCCAAACCTTCACCTAAAACGCATGCCCTCTTCTATTCAAATTAGGTTAACCGGAAAGTGAAAGCTGCTCTCATGTCGTGCAGATACTTGCTTACTTGCCAACAAAACCGCAAATAGAAATCCAAATAAAGAATTATGGCTCAAAAATAGAAATCTGCTTTTAAAAGAACATGAATACCATCATAAATAGACAGCCTCACAAAATGAAGGCAAGAATAATGAGTAAGTGTGAAACCCTAAGCTATTTTAAGAAATGTGGGATGGCACTCTCCAGGCTTTAACAGTAGTCACTGCCACCAGGATCTCTCACCAAAGGTCCCCACCAAAGATCAGGAGCAGAGATCCCAACTCCTGTCTTGTCTATAGGACTTAACAACTTTACCAGCTCTGTACCAGGGCTGCAAACAATTAATTAACACAGTGGTAGCCTCCTGAGGCGAACGGCTTAGACACAAGATTCAGTCTTAGAAATCAGGTTGCAACAGAGGAAACAAGTCCAGATAATATTGATTATATATTATCATTATTCAGTGCACAAGCATGCATATAACATGAGACTAGCAAAAGGTAAGAAACAAATGATATCTATAGCTTGTTCAGCTCTAACTACACAATAGAGGTATTCCATAGTTACCAGGCTTTTAGAAGTACCAGACGGTTCAGTGTGCAAAGAGTTCTTTTGGACTGGCTGCTTGCTTGTCAACTGTGCTGCTAACATGGAGTTTTACTACTAGGCAGCCAAGCTGGACTTAGCTGCCTACAGCACAATGGGGTTCCTTTTTCAAGATTCCCTGGTGAGACCTTGGAA